CTGGGGAAGCTTGGGCGCGATGGTGGGTGTGGTGACGGTTGTGGGTTTTGCGCCTGGCGCTGGCAACGATCCCAGGACGTGGGCGTGGCTCGACGTGGTCAGTTATGGGTAATGCGCACTGTTGATACGCAAAGCTAACGGCTGGTTGCAGATCTACGCCCTTGGGTACGTCAAGCTAGCGTGTACAGTGGTCAAGTACTGTCCACAGGCATACTTCAACTACAAGCGGAAGTCTACAGTCGGATGGAGCATTGGGCAGATCTTGCTCGACTTTAGCGGCGGCATCTTGTCGCTGCTGCAGCTGGTGATTGATTCGTCGATGCAGGGCGACTGGTCAGGGATTGCGGGCAATCCGGTCAAGCTTGGGCTGAGCAACATCAGCGTCGTGTTTGATGTCATCTTTATCACGCAGCACTACATGTAAGTTGGTCGATCGACCTGACGGGCACCACTGACGATTTGTAGATTGTACCACGGCGCGACCAACGAGGACGAGGAAGATAAGGGCTGGGTGGGCGAGAGAAGTCCGCTGGTAGGTGATCGGGGGGATGCGGAGATATAATAGCCCTCATCACTGTCATTTCGAGCCACATCTAAGGCGCAAGGCATCTGGTAGGCATCCGAGATAGCATCACAGATGCATAAATAGCCCACTACCAAATAATTATGCAAACAAGCACAACGGTCGCCAGTCGCGGCAACAGTGACGGCAAATTAGCCCCTTATCGGCAGCCACGCGACGTGCCGCAACGGAAGACGGGACATTTTGCGCGCCAATGGATGCGAGGCGGGAGTCGGATGGGTTCGCTGGGATAGCACGGACAGATACGATGTTCCTGCATAAGTGCATTGGCTATCAAGTCTTGGAGAGGGGAAGAGAGAAGCGGACTGGAGGAGAGAAAGAGAAGCGACTGGGGATGCGGAAGGCGGAGCCGTTTAGCATTGCGCTATTCTCCGCCCGTTCCCCTGAGCTGGGTGTGGAGCCTTGCATGTGGGGGTTATGGAGCTCGAACTACTGCATGTTACCAGTATCTTCAGCTCGACCGGCTGGACTTCATATGACCAGCTGCATCAATTGAACTCCCTATCCTCAGTCTAGTCTAGATCTCGCAGTCAGAGCAGAGCAGCTGAAGAAGCAGTGCAATTCGCGGCTGCAGACCAATAACCAGCATCAGCCGCGTTTGCCTTCCCCGTACGGATGTACTTATCGACCTGCCTGTTCGATGCTGCATCACCACCACTCCCACCATCACCTCTCACAGTCCCGATGCCAGGTTTCCTGGATCCCGACATCTGCATAGTAGTCCGTGCTGTGCTGCTGCTAGATTGCTTGTTTGCATTGCTTCCGCGTCCCTCTCCCGACATTGCTTCATGTCGACTCGACGCTCTGCTTCCGCTGTCAGCGCATGCAGAGCGCATGCGACTATCTCCCGCGTCAAGCCCAAAGCCATCGCCTACCGTACCAGCAGAAGAAGAAGAAAAGGCGTTTCAAGTCTCAATGTGCCGCGTGCAAAGCCCACAAGGCGCAAACGCAGAGGCCCATTGAGTGGCGTCAGCACCTCAATCACCCCCCTAGTTGGACCCAAAGATTAAAATGGCCCGGCTTGGGATTTGGCTTTTCGGAATGCTTTCAGATGGAAGAGGGGGGGGACTGAAGCATAGCGACATCAACTTCACTTCCTCACTTCCTCTCGCCATCTCCTCCTCTCCCGCAATATCTCGAGATCAGCGCGCTGTGCGTTTGTTTGTTTGTTTACCGAACCCGCTTGCGCTTCACCAACCATCGCAAGCTCTCCCAAACTCCCTCGCTATCTCGTCTCCCAAACTCCCTCCCTATCTCGTCCCCCACTGGCCACTCCACCGTCCACCCAGGCAAGGGGACCCCGGAGTCACCCCCATCCGCACTCTCAGCAGTCCACTCTCCGCGCGGGGTCGTGACCTGCGATGGCGTACACCTTGGTACATCCCCCATCTACCCTCTCCCCGCCACCACTCTCTGTCAATCTTCCACACATCCATTGTACACCACGCCCTCCGCCCCTCCACCAGCCATGTCCCTCCGCCGCGTCTGGTACAAACTCTTCTCTAACGAACACACCCAGTTCCCCCCCTCCGACGCCCCGCCCTCCGTCCCACGCACCCGCTCCCTCTCGCGCCAGCGCTCCAAATCCCCCGCCCTCACCAGCATCCTCGAGGCCACGCCTCCCCGCCCACAGGCGCCAGTCGAGCACAACCCCTCCTCCGCCTACCCCGCCGAAGCCGATAACGAAGATGCCTCCTCTGAGCCCCTCATAACCGACCTTGCAACCCGCAGCATCCCTCCCGAATACGCGCCTCTCAAATCCGCAACCCCAGAGCCAGGCACGCGGCGCGAGGCGAGTCGGCGCGCGGGGAAGCGCCCGGCAAGTTTTGCGTGTGATGGCGATTCTGTGTCCATGTATGGCAGTCTAGGGCTGGGGCAGAGGGAGATCCACATTCCGACGCGGACGAGGTGAGTGACGGTTGTCGGGCACACGCTCGGCCTCGGGTGCGCAGTAGATACTGATACCCCTCAGCAGCAGCCGCGTCGTAAGCAACGGCACGGGCACGAGCCGCAGGCGCAAGCGGCAAGGACGTGAGTTCTCCGCCTCCTCGTCCGCCCCCACGACCCCGGACCTGCGCTTAGGCAGCTCAGACGACAGCGTTCGCTCCTACTCCACCCACACATCGAGCGTCACGCGCAGCCCCCCCCTTCTCTCGAAACCGAGTATAGATGCGGATCGCCTGGCGCCGGTCACCGAAGACGACCCCCGGAGCTTCGATCTCGTGCAACCGGCGAGCGCCCCGGTGGGCGGCGGATTTGAGCTGGAGAAGAGGGTGGAGGAGATGTTCAGCGCGCAGCATCTGAGGGAGGTATTTGCTGACCCGGGGTTGTTACTGCGGTTTACGCATTTCTTGTCTAGTGGGAGGCCGGGGCGCATTCCGCTGCTGATATATTACCTCGATGCGCTCAAGGCGCTCCGGGCACTGGCGTACGCGAATGCGGTGAGCGAGGCGCTGGAACCCATTCCGGGACATGCGTTCACGGACAACCCACCGGGCCCGACGGTGAATGGCGTGTTGGAGGAGCGCGCGGAGCAGGCGTTCGATGCTCTGGTGCGCGATGATTTACCGGCCTTCGTGGGCCATGTGTTCACGCAGATCGCGGCGGATGCGATACACAAGCGCATCACGGGCGCGGAGCCGCTGGAGCTCGCGGATGCGGAGGGATTGGCGGAGGTGTTCTGCCTCACGGACCCGAGTCGGGCGGATAACCCCATCGTCTATGCCTCCGAAGGTACCTTTCCCCTCCCCCCCCAAATGCCCATTCCCCCTAACCCGAAGCCAGAATTCCACAAAACAACCCAATACGGCGTCACCTACTCCCTCGGCCGCAACCCCCGCTTCCTCCAAGGCCCCCGCACAACACCCTCCTCCATAACCACCCTTCAAGCAGCCCTCGCTCAACCAACAGAGTCCACGCACCTCCTCCTCAACTACCGCCGCGACGGCTCGCCCTTCCTGAATCTCCTCCTCCTCGCGCCGCTCACCGACTCGCGCGGCCAGCTTAGGTACTGGCTAGGCGCACACGTCGACGCTACGCCCCTCGCACGGTCCTGCGCGGGGCTAGATGGGCTGCAGCGCTTACTTTCCCGCGGCGGCGAAGGCGGTGAAGCAGGCGCGCAGAACGAGTTGCAGGACCTATGCGAAATGTTCAACCTCGACGAGCTCGCCACCATATCCCGGCGCGGCGGCGCCATGCACCGGGACCTGCTCTCCCCCACACCCAACTTACACACCAAACGCAGTTTCAGCGGCGCGCCGCCGCCCGCGCATTTCTCCCCCGGTGTCGGGGTGCGGAGTTTGTTTCCGAAATACCTGATCCTGAGGCCGCATCCGAGTCTGCGGATTTTGTTCGCGAGTCCCGCGTTAAGGACGCCAAGGCTGTTGCAGACCCCATTTTTGAGTAGGATTGGCGGGAGTCCGAGGGTTAGGGATGAGCTTACGGCTGCGCTTGCGGGGGGGCGAGGGGTTACGGCTAAGGTGCGCTGGTTGAGTGCGCGGGAGGGAGAAGGGGATGGGGAAGATGGGGAGGAGGGAAGGGTGAGGTGGATTCATTGTACGCCCCTGCTGGGACGGGAGGGGGTTGTGGGTGCTTGGGTTGTGCTTGTTGTTGATGAGGAGAGTGCGGGGGGGGAGGGAAGGAGGGTTAGTACGGGGTGGAAGCCGGCGCCGGTGGTGGAGGGGCGGAAGAAGGTTGCTGGACTTGGGGTTATTAGAGACAGGACGGATGAGGCGCCGTTTGAGAGGGGGATGTCGGTAGGGGGGGGGAGTGAGAGGGGGGAGGAATGGGGACTCGAGTGAGGGAATCTGAACTTTGGATGAACAATTTGGAGTTGTGGGTATGATGTCGGAAGGATTATGCGGCGATATAAGGCGATATAAGGTGTTTTGAGCGCGAGCTGGATGGCATGGGATGAAGATTGTCACTCTTGGTGCTTTGAGGGGGGTTTTGGCGCAGGCGCTTCTGGATATATGGGTATGACATATGGCTAGCGGATAGATTTCTGTTTTGCGAGAGAATGTATAGTGTGTAAGCTGTCTGCTCCGTTACGTTGTGGTGGCGATGTCCGTTGCATCTTGAAGTGCGGTTTAGGATCCACGATGGATACTTGATTTCGGGGTGAAACTGTTAGCGCATATTCAAGTTATAAATCGACGACCGGCACATTTCGCTTCTAGATCATCAAAACATCCTCGTTTACCTCTTCTCACTCATTTAACTAAACCTTTTCCACACCAAATATCATCGCGAAAGCGGTGCAAAAAGAAAGAAGTTCAGATACTCGTGACCGCATCTTCAAATGCCTCCCGCAAACGCCACCGCATAATCCCATCGCAGCGCTGATACGATTTCACCTCCGACTCCGGGTCCCAAAAAAAATCCGTTCTCATAATCAGATGAAAAGAAAAAAGAACACTGGACGCGGAGGGAATTGAACCCCCGACCGTTCACAATATTGCATCAGGCAATGCAAAGCGAAAATCATACCCCTAGACCACGCGCCCTTTCTGGTTCTTGATACGTTTAACATATGTGGAATATATAATTGCTTAAAGTGCAGGGATAAGGTGGCGACGAAGAGTGGGGTTGGCGGCCATAGGACAGGTCAGCCTTGTGATCTGCATTTTTCGGGGTCTGAATCGCGCCGACCGACAACTTGGACAAGATGAAGTGACTATGTTGGGAGTCGAAAGGCTGCTGGGCGATGGAGACCAAATATCAAGGTGAGAGTGCTTTGGAAAAAAGTCGGATGGTGAACGCAACTTGAGCCAAACAGCATCCGGGCACCGGTCAACTCACGGAACACCTTCTTTCATTTCTCACACTGTATGCTTTCGACTACATAACCATCCATCATCGTCGTCTGAAGCTCCACTATCCCCACGCAAATCCCATCAAGAAATCGGAGCGCCTCGATGAGTCGAGGCTCACCATGCTTGACGATGTCGCCAGGTGAAAGGTGACTGCTCAGAACGTCGAAGGACACTACAGCCACTAAGCAGCGCAATTCGCCCACAGCTTACAACGTCAGCCTCGCTCACTCAAAAAGAATCACAACTTACCGTTCCCCAAATTGTATTAACCCACCCCCCAATCCCAGGACAGAAATTCCAGATCCGCATCATAGCATCATAGCACTCATCGTAATTAAACGCCATATGGCTTGGGTCACTGATATTCTCTGGTGCAATGCGATCGACGGTGATCATTCCTGCCAGCATTAGCACCTTTTTCACAAGCGAGCACGTCACCGTGCTCCTTCCCATCATTACCCTTGGTCCTTCACAAAAGTAATCTTCTCCTTCTAATGTCAAGTATGCCGTTGCAATGCCTTATCCCCATCGTGTCCACATCAACTCCAAACCATAATATTACTCTTTTTTGCTACGCCCGCAAGCCACTTGCACCGGGGAGCAGGAGTGCTTGACTAATAAACGGCCGTCGTATTGCCGATTTCAACTGGGAGCCGTGTTATTCCATTGTGCAATCGGCAGTACCGAAAAGTAGCGCTAGGCACGAGATACAGGAGTTGCCGAGGCCGTGCCGGTTAGATTCACGATGTCGCGGCGAACAAACTTCCGCCGGCTGTCTGGGAAAGTCAACTTGTCACGGGTAGTACGCCCAGGCACTGGTAACCCGGAGATATGGACGGCGTAACGTCGCATGTCACCGTGAACTGTGGGCTTAGAAACCCCGGTCGAGGGCAGGTTGGAGGCGAGGATGACTCCCTAAATTCCAGAGGGATATGAGAACCATCAGTGTCGCCGGTCAAATGTACTCAGTACTGAAGTGCTTCTATTGGAGTCAATGGTAGAGCAGGCGGACTTGATGGGAGGCGAATGTGCTAAGGGACGGCCCACGGATGCGGTCGGGACCAAATGACATTTGTATGACCTGCGGACTGCCGACATTTGAGTGTGTAAAATCTAGACGGACGGAAGTGATAATGTCACTGTGACAAATGGAGGCTGGGCAAGAGGGCGCCGTAGACGTTGACCATGGTCATGGTGATTTCTAGATGCTGGTCAGTCTAAAGACGGGTTGAGCAGCGGAATGTAATGCGAATTCATACAGCGCGCCCACCATCGGTAATGTTTCATTCCGAATGCCTTTGCCTGGTGGACCAATTCCAATCAAACTCGTACGCAAAGGCGTATCCGTCGGGGAAAGTGGTCTCGTGAGCTTCACGGTCGGAGATTGACTCTCCGTTACAAGCACCTGACGCGAGGAGCTTTGACACGGGAACTTGAATCATAGGCCATCGGCACGCACATATCGGGCAAGATAGTAGCAGCAGTTGCCCATCGACGGCAGCGGATCCAAGTCGCCTCTGGCTGGCAGTGCCTGGAATGCTGAACCTCTGAAGGCGGATAGGAGCATAACGTGAGGATACGCTTGACATGGACGCATTGTCGACTCCCACGTACGGGTGTAGAGCGTTCGCCGAGGAAGAGAAAAGAGGTCTATCATTCGGGACGCGTGATGCCGCAATCGTTGTCATCAATCCTTGAGCAGCTGTCTTCATTAGCAATGTACCGAGGAGTATCATGAGTTATTTTGCGGATGTTTCTCTACAGAATTCAGCCCACCGAAGCCGATGTCGCTGCAGAAGACAACCGCTCCTTCTTTCTCTTCAATCGTCGGTGTCGTCATCGCCGCCGTTGCGCCCCATTGAATGTGGACCCCATTTCCCCACGTGATGTAACGACATGTCGAGATCTTCGTCGTCGTCCTCGACTTCAGCTCTCCGCCCCATCTTCATCTCGGCCAGTCTATTTCGGTCACATCGGGATGGCCGAGTCTTCGAGCTGCTCTGCTGCCTTCGGCTCCCGACCCACTTCGCGACAACCGCTCGCCACTGGAGCAGAGACAGGAGCATCTCATCTCACCCTTCACACCCTCACGACGCCGAACTCCCGTTCTCATTCTCATTCCCGCCTCATCCGCGATGCCGTCCCACTCGCGAAACCGCTATCACAGAACAGACTCTGACCCGAAACGCATGGAAGCCGGACCGCAACCCCAGCGACCGCAAGCGCAAGGCTGAAGGAGCACCCACAAATACCCGTCCCGTCAAGACGAAACGCAGCGCGCGGGAGAGAAAACTCGAAAATGGTCCCGTTTCGCTCCGCCCGCAGCAGTCTGGACCAGTTTCACGCCCGGCCGCCAATGACAGCCTCACCCTACCATGACTCCCCACCTTGCGCCCAATCACCGTTTCCGCCCCAAGCCCTCCCGGAGCGCGGACCACTCGCCCCGCGGCCCTACTGTTACCCCCCATGCCTAGGGCGAGGCCGAGGATCGGCGCTCGAGACGGGCAAACAGGTTGCTGGGCCCCCGCGCAACCAATGACGCGGCCGCGCGGCCTGATGAACGCAAAAACGTCCAAGGAACGGACCGGCCGGGACGCTCATCTTGCGGTCGACGAGTGAGGTGCGCGAGCCCGGCGACGGAGGCACGAGCTAGGCCGATGTCCAAGGTGGGGCGCGGGCGACGCCTGACGGAGGGGGCTGAGCACGAGAGGGCGAGTGGGAGCGCCGGCGCAACGCTGATTGGTGTGTGCCCGGGCGTCGCGGCTGCAGTAGCGCGGCTTGCTTTTGGCGGATGGTGGTGCAGCGGAAGCCGCGCGCAGGTACCCTTGATTGCAGGCGGGATCTTCAGCCTGGTCGGATAGAAGAGCTGAGGGGGGGGGGGGCACGCCTTGATACGGCGGGACTTTGGGGCGTGCGTCATGGTATTGGATGGGTGTGTGGGTTGTGTGTGTGCATGGAGGGGGAACCTGGAATGAGAAGTCTCGCCGGGATGTTGCGACGAACAGCCGCGGGCCTCGCCGCACGGATTGAGGCACCACATTTGCAATCGCATCGAGGCGAAGAAGGCAACTGGGAGGCGACAGCAGTTCTTCGGCGGTTCCTGGATTGCGCAAGTCGGCGACGCATCCGAAGGCTTTTCCTTTTCACGACCAGTCGTCTTGCACAATTCACGCCAGGCATCTCAAATCCACCATCCATGATTGAGGATCATCCACCATCATCCATGTCCCAGGTCTATCGATAGCAACCCCGACGGGCGGCGTGTGGCTTCCCGGTGGCTTACGACACGGGGTCACGAGCCCTGCTGACGGACTGATCACAGGCTTTTCCTGCGAACACCCGGCGCACACAATTGCGTCGAGCATGTGGGCTGCGACCCGGGAAGAGAGTTGAGCAGCGAGGCTTGCATCATGTTGCAAGGGAAGCATACTGGAGATGGAGTGTTGCTAACCGTTTGGAGTTGCCCCGATGGGCCCGACGCTGGAGGCTCGCGAGGAGCTGCTAAACTCGAAATGGCGAATGGCGTTGCCTTTGCGTTGCGCTAGGTGCTGCTTGGCGCACGCTGCGGAGAGCGGGTTGGTGGATGGGGACTGGGGGGTGATGTTGGAGGGGGGAGGGGTTGGTGAGAATTGGGGAGGGGGAGGGGGTCGATGGCTATTGATGGATGGGTTGATGGTGGGGAGGGGGGGGTGGAATGGAGGGATGCTCCCTCTTGTCCTGCTCTTGCGCCTCCTGCGGGCGTTGATGGTGGAGGTGGAGGTGGAGGAGATGGCGGAGGTGGAGCAGCAGCGGGTGCATCAAGAGGAGGAGAAGCAGAATGAAGGCATGAAGGAGGGTGTGGAGCAGCACCAAAGTGGAGTCTGTGTGGCACTGGAGGAGGAGTGCGAAAGGTGAGAAAGACAGGAAGCACCTCCAACCCCACACTTGCGCAGTACTCACCACCCTCTTCTCCACCTCCTCCACCTCCTCCACCTTCTCCTCACTCCACACTCCACTCCCCTCCTCCCTCCTCCATCCCCTTCACCCCCATCAGGCGGCCCAGAGAACTCACACACTTCCTTCAAAGAGGGGCTGCGCGCAAGGGATCACGCGGCGCTGCCCAGGTATATAAGCATACTCGCATCTCCTCTCCCATTCGCTGCCATCCCTTCCACTTTGGACCTCCATCTTGCATCTGCTTTACCATCGCTGCTAGCTCTGATCTCCGTCGCATCTCGTCGCCCTCAACAACCTCCCCTCCTCCCCCCCCCCTTCCTTCTCTCTTTCCACATCCACCCCCCGCTCCCTCAAAATGTGCTTCTTCTCCTCCTCCGACAAAAAACGCCGCTACTCCTCCCTCCACAGCGACGAAAACCTCAACCCGCGCCACAAACGTATCTCCCGCCCTCCCTCCTCGCACTCCCGCTACGAGCCCCTCCACGGACAAGGCATAAAGCGCTCTCCCCCCCGCAACGTCGCGACCAAACCCCGCTCCAGCGAAAACGACAAACCCCTCCGCGGCACCGGCGCAAAGCGACACGACCCCGCATCTACACGCGCCAAGAAACCGCAAATGGCCGAGCAGCGCCCCCCCGCGCCCACGCCCCCGCAAGTCGCAAAGAACACCCGCACCGATTACCGCGCCAGCGATGCGCGCCGCCGGTCTTCCGACACGAGGCGGCATTCCGTCGCCGACCCCCAGCCTACGCGGC